AAAAAACAACAACAAAAAAACCACACACAATCCCTCCCTGACTCCCCTACAAAACTATAAATGAAGACAATATTTAGAAATACATATATGTCTGGACTCTGGTTGGGTAGCTCAGTTGGTTAGAGCATTATCGCGATACACCAAGGTTGTGGGTTCAATTCCTGGTCAGAACACATACAAGAATCAACCAACGAATGCATAAATAAGTGGAATAACAAATTGATGTTTTTTTTCTTTCTCTCATTCTAAAAAAAGTGTCTGGTAGGTGCACATCAAACTTACCTACAGGGAAAAGAATGAGTCTGGAAAGGCATGCTGAAGAGGGAGGGATTTTGTGTTTTTTTTTGTTGTTGTTGTTAATCCTCACCCGAGGATTTTTTCCATTGATTTTCAGAGAGAGTAGAAGGGAGGGGGAGGAGGAGAAAGAGAGAAACATCTGTGTGAAATAGAGACACATCAATTGGTTGCCTCCAGCAGCGCCCCAACCGTGGGGGCCAGGGATCGAACCTATGATCCAGGTATGTGCTCTTTACTGGGAATTGAACCAGTGACCCTTAGGTGCTCAGAGGTGGGGTGGAGTAGGCGTGATGCTCTAACCATTGAGGACACCAGCCAGGGCTTGCCTCTGTGTTTTTATTCTACCTGTTTTGTGGATGTATGTGAATATATTATATTGTAATGAAATATTTTAAATAACCAGAAGAAGGAAAAATAATATTCAAGAAAATGTATGGATTATAATTGTTCTAGTTTTGCTTGTGTGGCTTTTTCTTTCTTTCTTCTATTAAGCTGCATTATCTGGGGCAAATGCATTTCCCTTTGGGTATTCCATGACCCCAGTCAGAGTTTACTGATGACTTAAAAGAGCATCCTGGGGTGCTTAATCTAATTCCCTTCATCCGAATTGAACCAGTGACCCTTAGGTGCTCAGAGGTGGGGTGGAGTAGGCGTGATGCTCTAACCATTGAGGACACCAGCCAGGGCTTGCCTCTGTGTTTTTATTCTACCTGTTTTGTGGATGTATGTGAATATATTATATTGTAATGAAATATTTTAAATAACCAGAAGAAGGAAAAATAATATTCAAGAAAATGTATGGATTATAATTGTTCTAGTTTTGCTTGTGTGGCTTTTTCTTTCTTTCTTCTATTAAGCTGCATTATCTGGGGCAAATGCATTTCCCTTTGGGTATTCCATGACCCCAGTCAGAGTTTACTGATGACTTAAAAGAGCATCCTGGGGTGCTTAATCTAATTCCCTTCATCCAATGGGTCTATTCCAGTAGCAGATTTGGCCACTGATGATGTCTTTTCCAATTCCTGGGGAAGAGATTTCAACTCTGACAGTAAGAGATTCTTTCTGCATTCTTCCTGGAACAGCTTCTGTATCTTCCTAACTTAAATAATTACCATCTTCTGTTATATTGTCCCACTTTTTTCTGATTCAACACCACTTTCAAGGCTCAACAATCTCAACAACCACCTAGGACCCACTCACACTCAGCTGAATGTTCTGAGAAGTGAGTTCCTCCGCCTTCTTCTCCAGGGAGGACACCCATAGCTTCCGCTTCTGACGGCAGCGCGAGGCAGCAGCCCGGTTCCGCTCCAGAAAGCGCTGCCTCCGCTCATCCGGATCTTCATCCACTGTGCGCCGCCGGCGCCCTCCGGTACTAGGGGTGGGCTGGGCTGGTGAGACCTGTTGCCCAAGAAGGAAGAGGAGTTACTTGAAAGGAATTGAACCTGGTGTTAGGTATATTAGTAAGACCCGGTAAAGGGATGTATCAATCTCTGTAACCACAGCACGTCTCATCACTATGTATACCCTTAGCTTCTCTTTTGTAATTGTTCCTCATTCTGTCTCCCATTTCCTTCCAGTCTTCTCCAGTCCCATACCTAGACAACCAGAGTTCAGTTGGAAACTGATTATTTCTGGGACAGACAGACAAAATGAAACTAGGATCACTTTTTGTTTCTTAGGAATAGGGAATCTGTTAGGGAAGGAAAGCATAAAGGAGGATATCGGGAACTTTTAGCAAGACTGGAATAAAAAGTTTACAGATCACTGATTTGGACAAGCAATATATACAAACAGCTGAATGCTACAAGTTTCAGAAAAGAAGAAAAGATTTTACTCCTAGTGAGAATTAGGCTGTTATGGAGAACTATGGATTAGTATATTCTTTTTACTCACAATCCTCATCAACCCTCCCCCCATTCTGTTTGTTCTTTTTTAAACAGAAGAGCTTTTTAAAATCCCTTTATAAATGGGTGGTATTGGATTGTCTTTTGTCTTCAAACTTCAGGCTGGTGTCCCTTGACTTTTGTTTCATCTTCCTTTCTGTTAAGCTGATAGACCGATTTTATAATAGCGGCAAAAATAAAAATGTAGAGAGGTAACCATCTGCATAAAACAAACTATATAATATAAAACACCACCAAAAGTAAATATGTTCTAGATCTGTTGCTATTACAGAATATCTGTATTAGTTCCCCAATGCTGGAGCTCACATTCGTTGTATGAGAATAAGCATGAGCTTATAAAAAATAGAATCTTATTCTCCACTTCAGGCCCTACTGAATCAGGTTCCTCATTAAGATAATCGAGAGATAATTTCATTTATTCAGACTAATATCGCTCCCAAAAGAAAAAATGGGGAGGAAATTTCAAATTTAATTTAATGAGCTAGAAGCCTTAGGTCAATGCTTCTCACTACACCTAGGGAAATTTACACTAATTCTTTTGAAATTCAAAATTTCTTCTCTGCCCTGAGCTCATTGGACCACATGTAAAGGTTGATGCTTTACCAAGAATGGGGAAAAGGAAATGATAGGTTCCTATTCTCTCACAGGCAACTCACAGCTCATGCAGGGAATGGATGTGAAACAACAGCCCCAGAGAGAGGGAAGAATGAGAAAGAAAGGAATCGGTGGTGACTAAAAAGGAGGTCGTATAATTTCCTCAAGAGGCAAAGCAGCACAACTCAGGCAAGGGTTACTGCTCTGCCATCCCCAAGGACTGGCATCGGAAGCGGGTACATGAGGGTGGGCAGGCTTAGCTTCCAACAAGAAAACTCCAATGAAGCTTTAAAGCAGCATATGAAAGGAATTAAACCTGGTGTTAGCTATACCAGGTTCTACCTCTTTGTGTGTATGTATGTGAATATATTACATTGTAATGAAATATCCTACATTACATGTTAGGACATGTCGTGGTAAATGATGAAGCAGGTGGTGACATCAGGAAAAGGGGCTGGGCAAAGAATGCAACTGTAGAAACCAATCTCAGATTGTTGTCACCTGTCTAGTACAGATAATACAAAACTGAGGCCTATTTGGTTTTCAAAGAAATTTACTAAAACTGAGGCCTCCTTGAGAAAAGAACTGGGCATCTAAATGGGACTGGCCTGTCTTAAGGGATTAAATTGATAAGGAAAAGTTGAATTTTTGTGTTTTTTACTGAGCCATCTTAATACTGTGACATCACATATTAATATATTACTATTTGATTTTTGCTATAAAATATAATCAAGTAAGGTGGGGTTTGTTTTGTTTTTGTTTTTGCTATAAGATAATTTATTGCAGACTAGCCAATAATCTCCTATAACAATGGCACATACAATAATTAACAGCAAATATGCTTAGTTTCTTGTTTAATATAATGACCAACAGAGATGTGGACAACGCAGAGGCCTCAGAAAGTCCAGGAAGCTGCTACCAAGGATATTAAAGGACCATGTCATTTCTCTGAGCAAAGGCCTTGGAAGTCCACGTGACCCCCCGAAAGAGTTTGTCTCTAACCGCCCAGGGAGTGTTGAGGCCCTCCTCCATCCAGCCTGTATAGAGGGATCATAGACCAAGTTTCTTCCAGGGCGCTGAACATCTGTGAGGGGGACATAACTGACCGAATGAAAGGGAGTGAGGTCAAAGGCTAGATTCATGCTACAAGGGGAGGACAGCCAGAAGGCAGTGGCCGTAAGTGAGGAGGATTCCTTCTAGACTAATTTCCAAAAAATTTTGGCTCTGTTCGGAGCCTAGCCAAGAAGAAAATATAGTCCTCTCTCCCAGATCCTTCAACTAGCCCCCAGATGCATACACATAAGAACAGCCTCTCATGTCCTGAAGCATCACTTCCCTTCCTACCTCTGATACTTGGGTTCCAAAGAATATTCTGCTCAAGGCTTGAAGCACCATATGAGCCTGCTTCTGCTCATGACAGATATAAACTGGGTAAGGGATTAACAGAGCTCATTTTTAGAGGTATCTTGTTCAGTTTCAAGGCCTTTTTCTTACTGGAGGCACACAAAACCAGGGGATTCTGCTCAAGGGACAGTGTGACTTCTATTCTGTGTGCTCCTGCCCTGACTATACTTCAATCCAGGCTACAGGGTCAGTGATACCTACAGGGTCAACTGACTACTCAGCTAGCCAGGCACAAGCTCTTGGCCCTCTACACTTGTTCTTCTAGTGACTAGTACATGGGGGAGAACCTTCTAATGAATGGTACATGGGGGAGTACCTTTTTTTTTTTTTTTAAATATATTTTATTGATCTTCCACAGAGAGGAAAGGAGAGAGATAGAGATAGAGAGTTAGAAACATCGATGAGAGAGAAACATCGACCAGCCGCCTCCTGCACATCCCCCACCGGGGAAGTGCACGCAACCCAGGTACATGCCCTTGACCGGGACCGAACCCGGGACCCTCCAGTCCGCAGGCCGACGCTCTATCCACTGAGCCAAACCGGTTTCGGCAAGGGGAGTACCTTCTAATGACTGGTACATGGGAGAGTACCTTCTAATGACTGGTACATGGGGGAATACCTTCTAATGACTGGTACGTGGCGGGGGGGTACGTTCTAATGACTGGTATGTGGGGGAATACCTTCTAATGACTGGTACATGCAGGAGTACCTTCTAATGACTGGTACATGGGGGGGGGGTACGTTCTAATGACTGGCACATGGGGGAGAACCTTCTAATGACTGGTACATGGGGGAGTACCTTCTAATGACTGGTACATGCAGGAGTTCCTTCTAATGACTGGTACATGCAGGAGTTCCTTCTAATGACTGGTACATGCAGGAGTTCCTTCTAATGACTGGTACATGCAGGAGTTCCTTCTAATGACTGGTACATGCAGGAGTTCCTTCTAATGACTGGTACATGCAGGAGTTCCTTCTAATGACTGGTACGTGGCGGGGGGGGACGTTCTAATGACTGGCACATGGGGGAGAACCTTCTAATGACTGGTGCATGGGGGAATACCTTCGAATGACTGGTACATGGGGGAGTAACTTCCAATGGCTGGTCCAACTGGATAAGGTGTAGTATGGAGAGGGGGAGACATAGGGTGTGGGTTGGAGGTATGTCTACCAAGAATGGTTGACACTCTCAGAAATGTCTGTCTCTCTCTCTTTATGGAAAATCTCCCCATGCAGTAACACCCTAGCACCACAGACCTACTGGTGAGGGATTCATGACCCTTTCTGTGGGAAACCAAACTCCCACCACCCCAAAATTATCTTTAAATTTCTTTAATTGAAGGAGTCAATCTCTTAACTATGAGGACCTGAGCTGGCTACACAGTAACTCTCACTGGCCCTGATTTGTGGAACTGGTGCCATCTGGTTGGCACAGGAGCTCAGGTGCTCAGGTCCCCTCCTCCATGGAAAGAGGCTCTGATTTGAGCTTCACAAACTCTCGAGCCACTTCGTCATTGCTCAGGTGGATTTTTTTTTTTTTAAAAGACAATAGATGGGAAAGAGATTAGGAGAATCTCCTTTGTCTGGTACATATACACCATTCTCATATAGATAACACCAAAAATTAAGACCTCCTCTGTGACAGTTCTGCATTATCTCGTCTGCTTACATGTAAGTATAACACAAGGGTGAATAAAGAATGGTGCTTTTTACTGCTGTCAAACTATCAACAAGAATCCAAGCACAGGAAGGTGCCCAGAAAGCTGATCCATTCTTCTCTAAATTTTCTGCTCATTGAAAAACATAGGACATAGAAAGCAATGGTGACATAGCTGGTTCCCCCATCTGAGGGCCCAACTGACCTGTGGCTGGGCAGGGGAAGGGGCATCCGGGTGCTGGATGAGGATCTGGCTCTGCTCAGGACGGGCTGTCACCATGGTGCTGGCAGTACCCACCACCATTCCACAACCACCATTGATTGAGGAGACTTGGTTGGTTAGGGTGGCTTTTAGTCTCTGTGGAAAAAGATAAGAAAAAGAAAAGGTTGTCAAGGGTGAGATTCTATCGAGGGTGGGAAGAATGGGCTTGGATTTTATTACTGACTTACAGATAGCTAAAATTTCCACAACAATTTTCCCTTAGCAGAGGAAATAAAAGAAAATGGGGCAGGGGGGAGAGTGTGCACCTGGATCCCTAAAATGCCTCTCTATTCCCTGGCTATCGTTCTGGGCACAGTTGGAGGTTGGGGGTGGCTGAAGCAATAGAGTCCAGATGAAAGCTCTCTCCTGGAACCTGGCCAGGTGCTGGCTACACAGCTATCACCTCTTGGCCAGCTCGCCTGCCCACTCATCCACTCTCCATCTGTCACCCTGGAACTGAAACTGCAACTGTTCCTCTCCCAACAATCTGTGCTGCCTCTTCACTGCCATGGTCTGTGTACCGGGCTCTAAAGGTGGAAGGGAGGAGATGGGAGTCCTAAATCAGGGTCTCTTTTCCTACAGACCTCACAACAGGGTGTCTTTAGCTTTGCCAAGTCCCAGAAAGTTCCCTTGCTTGGCTCACTTGAAAAACCTAGGCTGATACCACTTCTCTTAGAAAGAGCCAATGTTGCCCCAGGCTGGGATATACTCACCATCTTGGCTTCTGATGGCATGGGGTGGCCAGAGGGAGAAATGGAGCCACTGCTGTTAACTGGTGGGCCAGGGATACCAGGAATGTTGGGCACCATAGACACAGGTCTGGCCAGCTGGATCAAGAGAAGGAAGAAAAACCAGAAGGGAACATAATAGTATTGGTGGGGCAACAGCTTCCCAAAATGCAGTGATTTTTAGATTGGCACATTAGGGCCTGTTCTGTGCAACCTGCCCATAGGGCATACAGGGATACAGGGCTCCTGGGAAATACCCCCCCCCCCCCCCCATAGCACTGAATCTAATCTTCCAATGCTATGACAACTTCTCTGGGAAGGGCTGGGGCTATATTGAGGAAAGTGGTGGGCAATTTGGAAGGTGCTAAGAGCCAAGTGAAAGCAACCAATCAGCAGGCTGGCAAGATCAATTCCTAGACGAGGAGCCAATTGTCCAGATGAGTCTTTGTCTAGTGTTCCATAGTACTGGATTGGCAGAGGTTAGTGAAGCGTTTGGGCAGGCTTCTGTGCTCCACTAATACAGACCAGAGCCCACTTTTCCCTGGGGCTCATGTATTTAAGAGCATTCAGGTGGAAGGGAGGGTTTGTGTGTTGGTAGGGCTGGCTGTCCCAACTACAGAGCTTACCGATATAACAGAAGGCATCTGTACTGGAGGCCCTGGCAGCACAGGCATGGTCTGCCCATTAGCAAGATGCATGACGAGAGGAAGGGAGCCAGTGGGAGACCTAGAGGACACATGAAGTGAAATGCTCATAATATAGACCTTTTTGCCTATGGATCTTTATTCTATATTATAGCAGATTTTCCAGTCTTCTCTAGTTAGGGAAGCTAAACGGAAACACTGTATAATCTTGACACCCTCGTGAAGGTGGAAAAAGCAGGGAATGCTACAAGATCTTTACACTTTGCAAATTATGCAAATACCACTGAACTCAAATAGGTGGGAAGCAAATCCTATTAAGAGTTTTGAACACCTGCCCTGGCCAGTGTGGCTCAGTTGGTTGCATCATGCTGGGTACTGAAAGGTCGCCGGTTTGATTCCTGGTCAGGGCACATGCCCAAATTGTGGGTTCAATCCCTGGTTGGAGTGCATATGGGAGGCAAACAATCGATGTTCCTCTCTCTATCCCTCTCCCTTCTTCTCTCTCTAAAATCCACAAAAGCATATTTGAAAAAAAGAGTTTTGCCCAACCAGTGTGGCTCAGTGGTTGAGCACTGACTTATGAACCAGGAGGTCATGGTTCAATTCCCGGTCAGGGCACATGCCTGGGTTGCTGGCTCCAACTCCAGTGGGGGGTGTGCAGGAGGCAGCAGATCAATTCTCTCTCATCATTGATGTTTCTATCTCTCTCTCCCTCTCTGAAATCAATAAAAATAATTTTTTAAAAAGAGTTTTGAATAATTAAATAAACTCCCTATCACTGCCATGTATAAATTCTGTCTTGCCTTAGATGAGAGAGACTTGGACCAAAGTTATTTTGCAAAGGTGAATTATGGCATATGATAGCCAAATATGAATAAGTTTCTCTTGTTCCTTTCCACATTTTGCTTTACCCTATCCAAAAAGATGTCTCTTTGTATTTTTCCTAGTGGGTCCACAGAACAATAAAGCTTCAGAAGGCTGAATTCTGACAGTAACCTCTTAACTCAATGGGTACCTAGCGATAGGATGTCAAGTCATCCCACAGTGAAATCTGCACAGGCTGTGCCATGAGTGAAGACAAATAGACCAACAAAATTAGAGGTAGCAAAGGCCAAGAATCCTAACTGGAACTGAGGGAAACACTAAAAAAAAGATGACAATGTGTTTCAGTCCCTCATTCAGTAGTGCTCCAATAAACATCTACTGATTCAGGTCAAGAACTTATATAGTTTCCTGTGGGACCTCCATCATTATGATGAACTTCCTAAAGTTTTAAGGATTCTCCTTTTAGATCAAAGAAGTATTAAGCCTCCAAAATAATGAAGTATTATCCTCAAATAAAAATATAACTTTTGCTGGTCTACTCAAAAGGGAGAGGAATCTATTTATTTTGAGAGACAATCATAGTGACTCATTTTCTTTGAGTGTTCAAACAGTCCCTCTTTCATCAAATAATTTTATGAAGAAGAAAAAAATTCAGGCTTCATGATTTCTCTCTGCTCTTTACTTACCCCAGTTGCCTGTTGGATGGTGGAGCCTGTGTGATGACAGAGGTTGGGGAGGGAAGGGTTGGGTGAAGTGGATCATAGCCCAGGTGGAGAGGCAGGGAGCCAGGGCGTACAATGGTAGGCGTTGGGGTAGATATCACAATAGGCTTGGGGGCAATTTCCTGGGGAGAAGAGACCAACAGATCACAAAGTGCTTTAAGGGGCCGTTTATAGAGAAATATGTAGCTGGTAAAATCTAGCACAAATTTATTGGAAAGAGCATTAGAGCAAGTCATGTTGCTCCAGGGTCATGGGCCATACCTCACTCACCCATTCAGTAAAAATGCTGAGTTAAGACCTTTTGGCTATCCCCCTTTCATCAGGGATGATGCCCATATGAATGAGATGAGAGTTGAAAAATCACTTGAAATCTCTGTAGAAGCATTGCAGTATCATATAAATTCTAAAAATTGTTATAACTTTTCACAATCTAGATACTGTCACTCTTAACTTGATACTGTCACTCTAAACTTTGTGTCCTGTGATCTCTAACAGGAAAAGGCAGATACAGGTATAAGACTGGTGATAAGGCAACCCAATTATCTTCTTTAAAAAAGGGCTACGGAAGTTTAAATAATGATCAGATTGTAATAAAACAAACTGCTTCCCACTGTTAGGATCTTAGGTTACCAGTGGCCACACTGGCCATGAAAACATCTCCAGACAGCTTCTAGGACCTGGCTGCTGATGAAAAGGAGAGAGGGGAAGGTTGTAAATTTTTTGGGGGGGGGAGGGGGCTGGGATGGAGGAAGTGGCGTTGTAATGTTTATGGAGAGAATGGTTTTAGAAGTTATCAAACCAAGTTTGGAGGGAAGTAAAATGAGCTATAGATGCATTATTCAAAGTGGATATTAAAATTAATAACTGCTGGTAGAACAGCAGAGATTGGAAGGAGGCATGAGGGGGCTTCTGAGGTTCTGATAATACCTGAGCACTAGTTACAAAGTCTGTAAACTTTGTGAAAATTCAGTGAGCTGTATACTTACAATTTATGTACTTTTCTATACATGTACTATATTTCAATAAATGTATGAAAAATACTACTTCTTAAAGTATTTCCTTTAAAAAATATTCAGAATCCTAGCAGATACTCCCTGTAAGTCACTAGAAGACTTACCTCTGGGAAGACTTTTTAAAAAATTGTTTAATGTCCAGTTTATAAACTAAGTGATTTTCTTTTTCACTTATTAATTAAAGTACTACATAAATACAGTAAAGTGCATTGACTAAGGTACAACTAAATGACTTTTTACATATGTAAAACCAAGACAGAGCCCATTTCTAGCACCCTGGAAGGTTCTCATGCATCCCTTCCCAATCCATACCTTTCCCCACAAGAGGTTAAACATTATTCTGAGTTCTATCACCATCAAATAATTTTGCCTTTTCTTGAACCTGATGTAAATAAAATTACATAGTATGTGCTTCTGTGTATGAATTTTTTGCTATTGTTCAATATAACATTTGTGAAATTCATCCTTATTGCTGTGTATATCATTAGCTTATTCTTTTTTAATGCCATGTAGTATTCCATTTTATAAACATACTACACTTTGTTCATTTTCTTGATGGACTTCTTCTAGCTTTTTTACTATTATCAATAAAACTGTTCTGAGCCTTCTCATATACTTCTTTGGGTGGACATACACACTAATTTCATTTCCACACTGACTTAAAAGTAGAACTGCTGGGTCACAGAGTAGGTGTAATTTATATAAATCTTCTAAACAATGAACATTTATTTGAATATATTCCATCTTCCTGTATCACACACTATACACCTATGAATCAAAACGTAATCTATTAGTTAACATGTGGGATGACTTCCGATAGAGAATTTCACCTTGTCCTTGAGCACCGGGGAGCAGGGGCTGGAGGCAGGGCTGTCTGGTGGGGATGAGTCCACCTCCACTGGCCCCTCTTCTTTGATTTTAACGTCCGGTGTGGAAGGCAGAGACATGTCAAGGGGCCCCGCAGCTGCCTGCTAAAGAGAGAAATGCGCAGAGTTTAACCCCACGATTTCCTTCAAGTTGAAGCTGTATCTTCCCAGTTAAAAGATGAGGGAATAAACTTCTTAGAAGTTTAGTTCCTTGGTCAAAGTGCCCAACTGCAAGTCAAAGAAATGTGAAGCCAAAGTTTTATGTACAACTTTGACCAAATCCATTCAACTTCTCAGGGCTTCTGCTTCCCTAACTATGGAAATAACACCTGCTTTACCACGGGTGAATACTGAGAAAGATTCTGAAAAGGAAAAAATACTCACAATGCTTATAAAGACCCTGAAAGGAAAAAAAAAAAGATGTGATTTAAATCCATCCAAGTATTATGATATTATTTTTCAGGAAAGTAAAATGATTCCTGAATCCAGTGCCTGCCTTTTCCCAACCAGCTCAATTGGCCACTGGAGAATTGTGAACACTTTTTCTGCCAACCAGATGATAGATTACCCAATTATCAAAAGCAAATAAAGATAAATTGATGATTAAAGTACTGAAAACAACATAAGAAAGACCTTTTCTAGGGTATGCCCCATGTTTGATGGTGATTTCACCCCCAAGTCTGGTGCTAGAAGCTGAAAGTTAGGAAGACAGAACTTCAGGGTAACGGAGAAAGGAAAAGCTGATCACTTGATCCGTGAAAGAAATGGGAAGTTGGTCTTAGGAGTAGGACTGGAGGAAACCAGAAATAAAAGAGAGTACATTCCTAGCATTGGTGCCACCACCTCACAGAACTGTGGAGCCATAAGTGGCTTTGCAGGGAAAAGAAACAATCCGAGATGGCCGTGATACTGCACCATGACAGGGGCATGACTTGATGGCATTGCAGTTCAGTTTTATGACTACGTCAATCCTTTCTTCTAGTCTTCCTAAATCCTAGAATTCTTGGCTAAAGAGGAGTTTGTTTCTAACTCTTCCTTTGCTACCTTAATCCCTAAAAATGTTCTTGGTAGTTGAGCAAAATGAAGATAGTCTTGTGTCTACCACATTAGAGAAGGCGATAATGGTTCTTTTTCTCCAATATGATGGAGGTGAGTAATAGCAAAGATGGTTTCACTTCTGCCCTAATTTTTTCTACATTGCTAAATTATCAGGCCCAACTGAGCTAATCCTGGGATCCCTGAAACCAGAGGGTGGTGGGAAGGAGAGGCCTCTCAACCATAGGTTTAAAATCCCTCTGGGGCACATCCTAGAAAAGCTGTGGTTCAGGAAGTTGTGGGCTCATAAAACACTCCTGGAGATAATCTTACTTTGAATCTGTGCTTCTCATCAAGGCGAGGTGAAGACTGGCAGGAAGAAACACCGAGAGCTACTCAATGAGCAAAGGCCTGACCAACTATGAAAGGCTTCTCAGAAGTGTCAACAGAGCAAAAATGGCAATGGAAAAGACCTTAAACTTTTCATGGGAGGCTAATTTTCTTGAATTTGCCTAGAATGAGTTTGGTTTAGAATCCGCCACATCCTGGAAGAAAAAATTTGATGTTTTTTCTTTCTTTTTTTTTTTTTTGTAATTCAGCTTGCTCCATTGATTGATTTCTTTGTTTTGGGAGAGGGAGAAATTATACCACACAGGATGAAACAACTGAAAAATGAGAGACTGCCCTGTCAGTGTGGCTCAGCTGGTTGAGCGTCGTCCCATGCACCACGAGGTTGCAGATTCAATTCCTGATCAGGGCACATGCCCAGGTTGTGGGGTCAGTCTCTAGTAGAGGACGTGTAGGAGGCAGCCAATCAATGTTTCTTTCTCATCAATGTTTCTTTCTCTCTCTCCCTCTTCCTTCCTCTCTCTAAAGTCATTAAAAATATATTTTTTAAAAAGAGAGACCTGTGTCTCCAAAGAAAAAGAATAATGAGAAGGTTAGTTCTGCCTTTTGAAAGTAGAAGTACAAATACATGCCACTGAATTGCCCTGCCTTCTTTTAGTTTGAGGGAGGCAGCACGAGAAGAAACTCATAGAAAGGTATGGAATTTATAAAGACTTCTAGTGATATGGACACTTTATCTTGCATTCTTACTGGTACAATTTAAGCTGAATGGAAAAATCATGTACAATTCCCTCTCAGAAGATAACAGCTTTCCTGGATATTTTTTCTTATATTCTGGCTTTGCTATATTCTGATGGGATTTCATGTCTTACTTTGTCATGCAATTGTAGAGCATACATGTGGTTAATATGTACATGTTCTGAGATCATATATTGGATTTTTCTGAATTATTAGGGAACACATACTTGATTTTAAAGTGACCAATAACCCAGAATTTCAATTCTAAAGTAGAATAAATTTTGACCTTTTCCCTGAAATCCCTATACCATGGGAAGTATTTTTATTTGACTCAGTTTCCTGAACTATTTCCTCTGGTCTTCCAAATTGAAGGATTCTCTAGAGATTTGGAATATAAAGTCTAAAATCAGAATCACAGCACCTGAAGATGCGATGGTATTCCAGCATTTTAATCCTTTCCACAGCTATCTACACTAAATGACCTACATACAATTCAATGCACTCGGTGACAGCTTCCACCTGCTGGCCATACTTCCACCTCTGAGCAACACAAAATAAATTTAACCCTTCTTTTACATGAAAACTCTTCAAATATTTAAGACTGAACTTTTGTTCACATTGTCTTCTCTTTCCAAGCAAAACTTCCTCTATTACTGTAACTATTCCCAAAGTGACATAATTTCTAGTTCTTTCAACCATTCTGGTTGATCTCCTTTGGAAAGCAGTAAGAACATCCTTCTTTAAGAAAACAGTTGGTTAGAGTGTTGTCCTGATAGCCAAGGTTCCAGTTAGGGCACATATAAGAATCAACCAATGAATACATAAAAAAGTGGGACAACAAATCGATGTCTCGATGTCTCTCTCTCTCACCCCTCTCTCTTTCTCAAATCAACCCATACATAAAAAGGAAAATAGGCAGAACAGTCTTCGCCGAGACTTGCTGTGACAGCTCCTGCTTCAACAGTGCTTGGACGGAACCAGTACTGACCCCCAACCCAGCCAGCTGCCCAGATCCAGCGTTCCACTACCTCCTCACAGCGCCCTGTGACTGCCGCAAGGCCCCCTCCCTCCCTCGGTTCAAATGCCACACATCTGCCTTTCCTCAGCCACCCACCATGAGGACCGTGCCCACCTCAGAGGCGCTAGAACTGCCACCTGGACTTGGAGGCCTCCATCGACTGCCAGATCAGCCTGGAGCTCTATGCTTCCTAAACCCATCTGTCCATGTCTTTCTACTTTGTGGCTTTGGGGAACTTTGCCAAATATTTTCTTCACCAATCTCATGAGAGGGAACATGCTGAGAAACTGATGAAGCTGCAGAATCAACTAGGTGGCCGAATCGTCCTTCAGGGTATCAAGAAACCAGATCTCAGTGACTGGAAGTTTTGGCAGAATGCAATGGTGTGTGCATTACACTGGGAAAAAAGAGTGACTTAGTCATTACTGGAATTGCACAAACTGGCCACTGACAAAAAATGACCTTCATTTGTTTGACTTCATTGAGATTCACTACCTGAATAAGCAGGTAAAATCCATCAAATAACTGGGTGACTACATAACCAACTTGAGCAGGTTGGAGGCCCCTGAAACTGGCATGAAGACAGACTTGCATTGATCCATCGTCTGGACCCCCAAAAGACGTGGGTGGCTGACTAGGATTAGTGGGTATTCTCCGTTTCTATAGAACCAAACCTGTAATTTTGTGCTTTAACCAATTAAACAAATTATCCCAGGGCACAATGAGAATAGCCTAGATTCGAACACCACCAGTTTTTCAGTATAAGTCCCGTCTCTTACCTTTTTCTCATCCTCATCTGCAGCTTTCTTGAATTCATGTTCAAAGGAGCTAGCTAGTTCATTGAAGAGCCCCACCTCCTCACAGTTCTTCAGGAATCTAGTTGGAGTAGGAGTTTGATCTGTAGACATGAAAAGAAAGGAAATTCAATTTTAGTTTTGACCTAAAATTAAAACTTGAGAGTATGTAGAGAGCACGTTTTACTCTTCTATTTGGAGAGAGTCTCGGTGTTAGGGCGAATTTGCTTTTATGGATCTCCAGTAGGTGAAGGCTGGTGCTAGGCCACCAGAGGGTGTCTGTGCTGTGTTGCCTCAAGGCCAGCAGAGGGAAGACAGAACAATGTTTTGTTGTGTGACTATCCATGTAACCACCTTTCTCCCAGAGGCTGGTTTTACCTCCCTCACCCCCAAACCAAACCAAACCACCCACCCAGGTGGAGTTTGTGAAACCTCCAGATTTGAAAACCAAGTATAGCTAAGCGACATTCTCTCTTTAAACTTACTCCCTGCTAGGTCTGAATTGAGCAGTTATAAGCAGATGAATGTTAACATCTGACGAGAAGAAACCGAGGCTCAGGTGGCTGAGTTTGTTTGCTAACGCGACCAAATTAGAAATGGTGCATGCCTTTCAGTGGTCACTGAGGTAAGGGTCTGCTACGTTCTGAAGGCATTCCAGGCAGATCTAGGGGCTAGGGAACAAGACAGCAAGATCATGAGCTAGAAAAGGAAACTGCAAACAATAGAACAGAAACCTCGGCCCAGAGCAAATTCCGGAAACCAGGATATTTGGATTTAGATTTGCCAGCCAAAATATCCTCTTAGGGGCTGTACAAATCTTTCATCAACACAGTGCCTCTCTACCCCTGGGAAGAGGAAGGCTCTCTGTAACCCATGGCAACTTTTCAAGCAACCTGAGTTTTATTTATTTACTTATTTATTTATTTTTAAAAAATGTTTAAACCTACTGTTTTTTTAAAAAAATATATTTTTATTGATTTCAAAGAGGAAGGGAGAGGGAGAGAGAGAAACATCAATGATGAGAGAATTATTGATCGGCTGCCTCCTGCAAGCTCCCTACTAGGGATCGAGCCTGCAACCCAGACATGTACCTTTGACCAGAATCGATCCCGGACCCTTCAGTCTGCAGGCCAACGCTCTATCCACTGAGCCAAACCAGCAAGGGCCAAGCAACATGAATTTTAGATCTGAACTTCTCTCTCCCCATTTTGTTTTTCTAGTTTTTCTCTTAGGTCAGCTGAATCTTGTTCCCTGATCCTAACTCTTTTAGATGGTTTTCCTTGACATGATAGTTACCTCATGGATTCATCTCATACTCCAAACCACTAGGTTAAATGATAGAAATAGAACAATGTTTAAATAATATTTTAAGAAGTGACACCTGGTATTAGAATTGCTCCATCTAGCATGATCAATTGGGAATAATCCAGTGGGATATTCCATGGAAACAACGTAATTTTAAAAAATTTTAAACAAAACCTCTTCTGAATCAGAGTGTTTGGGAAAGTTACCACTACCTCCCAAAATAGTTTTAAAAGCTTCTCTGGCAGCTTTGGTTGGCCAACGATAAAGCCACTTTCCCTCCATCCCCGGGTGAGTGGAGGTAATATCATCCTTTAGGCTTAGAGAGCACTTCAGTAAGGACACACAAAAAATTACCACTCAAGTGAACCAGGATGGGGCAACTAAGGGCATGGCTATGGCAGAAGAGGGCCTTTGGATCTCTGATCTGAGGCTCATACAAACTTCTTCCATTTCTGAACAATGTATAAGAAAATGTATAAGAAAACCCTTAACCTGCTCTGATAATTCTGAAGCAATCAACAAGTGTTTACTGAATACTTTTTCACTTTTGGTGCTACATGCATACAATTGTGTAGAAATCTGGGGGAGAAGAGAAATAGGAATATAGGAGTTTTGCCCAAATATAAAACATGGCTCTTGCCCTAGAGAATAAGAGAATGCTTTCTAGATGAGGAAATAAAACAATTATACATAAATAACATCATAGTATACAAAAATCATGTGCAGTAGAGAATAAAATTATTGCAGAAATTAAATAAAGATAAATTAATGAGAGTAGTTAGGAGGTTTCTAGAAGCACGACTTGAGTTGGGCCTTAAAGAATGGCTTTAGATGGTAAGGTGGTGAAGGCACAGAGAGAGGCAGGACACAGGCACCATGTATAGATGAGGAGAAAATGGTAGGTCTAGGTCAAAGGATAATCATGTTAGGTACATAAGTTGTATATAAAGTTGGGCAGGTACCATGGGGCTAGGTTAGAGAAGGTCTGAAAATCCAAGTATGAATAGCCTTAAAGTAAGAGAAAATGGGGAAAATAATGATAGATTTTGCGTGGAGGAGAAGAATTTAAGGAAGATTGGCTTTTCAATAGAATGAAGATAGATTATAAAAAGAGAGTAGTCAAGGAGAGAGAGACCAGCTAGGAGACTATGGAGGAATTCAAGCATAATGAGGGTGGTGGCAGGGAGAGCAGGACGGAACAGAACAGAGAGAATCTGAAGAGAAAAATAAAACGACTCAAAATTTTGAGAATATCATCACTGAATAACAAAGGAAAAGAAGTTGGTTTGGGGGACAAAGATAAATTTGGTCGTTGACATGAAGATTTGAATGACAGAAAGACAACCAGTCAAGTGTTCAATCAGGGGTTGGAATACATGTGAGACACCAGGTCATAATTCACAGATATGAGCATTAGCAGCCTAGATAGGAGCTGAAGTTATGTGCAATGCGATGAGCATTCCAGACAGCATGCACAAAATAACAGAAATCACTTTCTCTCCTTGGGACTGTCCTGTATCAATTTCTCACCACTCCTAGAGACTCAGCATAGCTTTTACACAATTCCTAATAACCTCTCCAACTTGACAACCTTGCCTCAAATTTACCTCTTTCATAAACTGTCTAGATTAATTCCATTTAATATTAATTCTCTTAGTGTTTTTATTGTTTGTATTATTCACTTATATTAGACTACAAATACTAAAATTACTTTCGTGAATACATGACCTGACCTAATAAATTTAAATGTTACCTGAACATGTTAAATCCTATACTCTTTCCTCTAAAACCTCCACTAGCTTTCTTCTTTTTTAAATTTAATTCATTGGTTGCTTCTTGTAAGTGCCCTGACTGGGGATCAAACCCGAAACTTTGGCATATTGGGACAACATTCTAACCAACTGAGCTATCCAGCCAGGGCTCCCCTGAGCTTTCTTAAGGATCATTAATGATATCCACTCATGTCCTTTTTCAGGAATTACAAGCTCCCAGCAAAGTAGATATTCAGTCAATAAGAAATAGGAGATCTGTAAGGGCAAATCCCTTTCTTCATGTACAGAAGCATGGAGAGAGGTTAAATACTGAGGTAAGCTTGCTTAGCTCAGGCTAACTCAGAACCCCCTCATGGTATCGAAAGAAAAAGCCCACTTTGGTTTGTATGCCTGTCTAGTTGAAAACGGCACAACAGAACTGCTGTGCACGGTTTGAGAGAGGTTGCTGAGAACGGTCCCTAGAGATGGCATATGTAAGCAAGACAAACTCTGAAACAACCAGTGAGAGGTTCCAGGTCACCCAAATTGGCACAGAAAAGTCCCATTGACAAATGTCTTGTTTGAACTTTGGAAATGTGCCCTCAATGGTGTCTGGGTGCACAAGGGAAGCTGAATTTACGAACTGACAATCTGTCTGCTTGGGGAAAACTGACACCCAGTGGATGAGAAGCAGCCAGATGAGGGCGGCTTCCCTGCTTTTGTTCACCCCTTCATTATGGGTAGGGAGAAATGTCAAAGGCGTCTTCTGTCTATAAATCTTCCAAAGCCTTAATAAAAGAAGGCAAGGAGGAAATAGACTGAAAAAAGCTAAGATAAAACCTTAACACACCTACCCTCAAAAACCAAAGAACCCAATCTTGTATTAAAAATAGAGAGTAGAGGGCACAATAGAAACTTGGGAGCTTTTAGTGTTCCCTTTTCCTGATTAATGCAGATCACATAAGGGTTCTTAATGGGAGAAGGGGAGTATAGCTCCCAGTACATCTGGTCCCTGGTATTAATCTTAACTGTCTGGTGATACCAAGGCACATGGCTTCTGGGGCAAAAAGTACCTGCAATGATGACTGAGTCAGTTCGGGCTGGGCCAAATTTCAATGTCATCTCATGCTTGTGTTTATGAACTGCCAGGTGGTCCTCGTTTGTAAATCTCTGAAACGAAACAGAAATGGAGATGTGTAAAAAAAACAACACTTCAGTGCCCTTTTAAAATGTCCTACCAAACATCCTGTGATAAGGTTGGTTGCTGGAAAGAGGGATTTGAACAGGGAATGGAAAGGAGGAAAAAACTGGAAGTGATAGGAAAGGAGAGGTGATAGATTTAAAAAGAAAAAATAGGGAGGAGAAAAAGAGGCACTATAAAGCTGGGAGGAGAGAGGAAGGGGAAGAGTGTAGCACCAACTGCTCTGTAATATTAGGTCCAAATGAGAGAAATGGACAGATTGTTGCTAAAGTAGGATCCAGGCAGGAGGCTTCAAATGAAAAAAAAAAAATAAATAACACACACATTAAGGCAAACTCATAGTGAACAAGGGGAAAATAATTTTTAATAATAATAATAAAGAGAGAAGGGAAAGGCTGGGCACTCACTGGTCATCACAAAAATAGGAAGTTCAGAATTAAGCTCTCCATGGTAGGGCTGAAATGGACTATTTATGCGGGGGCTAACAGGGAGATAAATTATGCAGGATTAGGAGAACCATTTAACTTCCTGGCCCCCACAATGCTGCAGCAGGAGCCTGCCCAGCTATTTGGCTCAGGGTTTTAATGAGTCAGGATGGAGCCGTAGAGGACAGAGGCCCAATGGCCAGTGGTAATGGCACACACCAGCCCCATTGGCCAAATGCTGTCTCCCCTCATTGGGCAGCCCGCCTGGGCTCCATGAGCCATAAAGGGGCCAGTACTGTGCTGCTGGCTATGGAATGGCAGAATAAAAATGCAAGCAGAATTTTTTTGTTAGGGTAGGGAGAAGCCAGCAGGCAAGATGAGGGGAAGGGAAAAGAAGATGGTGTAGAGATTTTATTTATTTAGGGGTTTGCGTGAAAGGACAATGAAAAGGTGAGGCTAGGTCTGCCTCAGTTTATGACTAAATAAGACAGGGTTACTGGACAATAATTTATGCTCGGACCTGTTCTTTAAAAGGGGGAGGTGAAGAGAACAGATGAACAGCAGTAATTCAAAAGACTGATACCCTCAACATTCCTGTTGAGGCTGGCTGGCCATGTTCCTTCATTAAAACACACCTACAACACATAACAGCGTGGACGCTGCAGTTTTTCACAGCTCCTTCACCAGCTAGGCTCTGAAAAATGCTTCTTTTTATCTTTTTGTTTCTAAAAAAAATGATTGGTTAGTTCCCTCTTTTTACTTGCTTCATGAAATATCTATTTCCCACCAAACACTATACTTTTAGCCCTCTTTTCCACAGCTCTTCTTTAAATTGATTTTAGAGAAAGAGAGGAAAGGAGAACTATATAGAGAGAAATATCAATTTTTGTTGTTCCACTTATGAATGCATTCACTGGTTGATTCTTGTATGTGCCCAGACCAGGGATCAAACCTGCAATCTTGTCGTATCAGGACTCTAACCAACTGCTACCCAAACAGAGCCCCCACAGCTCTTCTTGCTTGTAAACTAAACAGAGAGGAGTTGGCCCCATTCCGGCTACTATCAAGTCAAGTAAGCATTACTAAACTGTTTAAGTTCCTTTATTTTACCTGAAAGTAGCTTACCCCAAATTTTCTCTGAGCCCCTATCACAACTAAAGCCAGCTTAAGACCTAAAGTCCACAGGCCTGAAGGACAAAGGGAAATTTCAATTAAAAGTATGACAGCCCAGGCCGGTGTGGTTCAGTTGGTTGAGCATTGTTCCATGCACCAAGAGGTCACTGGTTCGATTCCCGGTCAGGGCACGTGCCTGGTTTCAGGCTCAATCCCCAGTAGGGGATGTGCAGAAGGCAGCCGATCAATGTCTCTCTCTAACATTGGTCTCTCTCTCTCTCCCTCCCTTCCTTCTCCTTCCTCTCTCTCTCTAAAAAAATAAAAAATAAATAAATAAATAAAAGTATGAAGAACTAAGAAGTAAAATAGTCAAAAGAAGAATGTCTTAGTGGTTTCCAGTGAATCAAGTGTGGGGAAATTTAGCCAAGAGCTTTCATGTTCTCTACTAGTTGGTTAACCCTACGCAAGAACTTTTTCCAACACAGCTTTTTCCTTAAGGAAAAAAGGATGGGGTAGGATGAGAAAGGAAGGCATAACAGTCTGTTACCCAGGGGTATGATATTTGTTGGTTAAACAAGTCACTGAGACTGCCAAGTGGTTGGTAAAAGCAAATGAGGAGAATCTAGTCTACAATGGAGAAAAAGCATCATTTTGGAGGGAAAAGAATAGTAGTGAATTAGGGGTATAAATTTTCAAAATGCACTGGAAATGTTGCAACAATCTTTTTCAAAAGTATGTTTATAAATTCTTCAAGAAAATTTCATGTAGGTAGCTTGGAAAATTCTGCACAATGTTCTAGAATCTAGAAGACTAACTTTTAAACAAAAAGTATTTTTCTATTATCAGAAATATAGTTTGCTCAAAACTGAGCTGAGAGAAAGATTTTAAACCTCCATCAGGCTTTGCTCTGGTGAGGATTGTTTAATATTTAAAAAAGCAACTCCCCTTCTGTTACAACTTTGCTGCACAGTCCTGACTTGTTTTGTTTGTCCTCTAGCTCTTGTTCCTCTTTGCTGCACCCTCGCTCCCTTCTATGACATCCTTTTCCCTATTGAGCTATTTATTTTTTCCCAAATCAAAAGTTGGGGCTGAAGAGAACTAAAAGTGGCCGAAGAGAACTCCCACCATTAGAATCTCAGAGGGTTTGATAACTGAAAATGGATAGGAAAAAAAATTCCATCTTAATTCTCACTAAACTCTAACTGAAATCCAACATGCCTAAGTCATAATAGCAATCACACATATTTTCATATCACATTACAGCTATTAAAAATCTCAAAATGTCCTTTAACACTTTGAAATTATGATAGTCACCAGAACTACCATTAGAACTTGCTATTTACCGTAATGGATTAATAAAAAAGCATATGTATTACATTATAAAATATTAAAAAAAACTTTTTTGACAACTGTAATTCAAAATAATTGGTTTCCTTTGTAATCCTATGTATTATACTTTATTAATTTTAAAACATGATTTTGAGAAGGGGCTCATGGGTTTCACCAAACTCCCAATGGGGGTCATGATACCAGAGAAGTTAAGAATCCCTGATTATAGCAGGTGGTGTACTTCAGAGGAAGAGGAGCCAAATGGGCTGAATTTTACAAGGCAGGGCTTCAGTCATCTCTCTCTCTATTTCTTTCTATTTAAATTTTTTTTTTAAAAAAATCTATTTTAGAGAGACAGAAATAGAAAGAGAAACACAGATTTGTTGTTCCACTTATTTATGCATTTATTGGTTCATTCTTGTATGTGCCCTGACTGGGAATCGAACCTACAATCTTGGGATATCTGGATGTTGCTCTAACCAGCTGAGCTATTCTGCCAGGGCTCTCTGATATTTCTAACACAATTCTTGTATGGCTAGAGTAGGAGGTGGAGAATAAAAGTTTACTTAAGCTTTTTATCACCCTAGCCGGTTTGGCTCAGTGGATAGAGCGTTGGCCTGTGGACTGAAGGGTCCCAGGTTCGATTCTGGCCAAGGGCACATGCCTGGGTTGCGGGCTCGATCCCCAGTGGGGGACATGCGAGAGGCAGCCAATCAATGATTCTCTCTCATCATTGATGTTGCTATCTCTCTATGTCTCTCCCTTCCTCTCTAAAAGATCTCTCTCTATATATATATATGTATACACACACACACACACACACACACATATATATTAAAAAAATTAAGGCTTTTTATCAAAGTGAATGTCAATTTGGCCATTATTCCATTGTTCCTTATATTCCCTCTCATGTATTAAGAGTTAATTCTTAATGATTCTCTAGATTAGTCTTGAACTGCATGCCTAGGAAACTATCCCTCTGTAAGCAAATTCTCAAAATACCTAAAATTATTAGGTGATGAAAATTTTGTTTTTTTTTTTTAAATATAGATTATTCTATTGAATTAAAATGAGTGGAGACCTCTCCCCAAAATTTCCTTTTTGAATTATTGGCTATTTAAAAATCTAGCTGTCCCATTTGTTAATACCCTTGTTAATGGGTCTTCCTTTGTTGTTTGGTTTTACCTATGACTAAGGTTTTGGCAAAGAGCCACTCAGGGAATTCTGGCTGTAGAGCAAACAATGATAATTTTCAGTAAATGTGTAGAAATTTCCAAGACACTGAAGGTGGGCATCATTCAAAATGAGGACTGAAGAATTTGAGTCACACAGAATCAGGAGAAGGCAGTTTATATGCCTTGAGAGAAGATTTATATAGTAACACAAAAATAGAATTTTTTGTTTGTTAATCCTCACCTGAGGATACGTTTCCATTGATTTTTAGAGGGAGTGGAAGAGAGAGGGAAAGATAGAGAGAAATATTGATGTGAGAGAAACACATAGATTGGTTGCTTTGCATGGGCCCCGAACAGGGCCCAGGCCAGGGAGGAGCCTGCTACCAAGGTATGTGCCCTTGATTGGAATTGAACCTGGGACCCTTTGGGTCCACCTGCCGATGCTCTATCCACTGAGCCAAACCGGCTAGGGCTTACTTCTACTTTTTAATGTGGCTTCTAGAAAATTTAAAATTGCATATGTGGCTTGCATTTTACTTCTTTTGAATAGCTCTGATCTAAATAATATGCTCAGAGATCTGATAGGAATTTTAATTTTATGCCAATCTTGAATCTTTCCCCCTAATCTCATTTTCCCTAAATGCTATTTATATTATACTAGAGGCCCGGTGCACAACATCCGTGCTCTTGGAGGGGGGGAGTGGGTGTCCCACAGCCCAACCTGTGCCCTCTTGCAGTCCTGGCCCCTTAGCGGAAATCTCCCGAGGGGTCCTAAGCGCTGCTGTGGAAGTGGGAGAGGTTCCCTCCACCGCCACTGAGCTCGCCAGCTGTGAGACCACTGGCGAGCCCGGCTTCTGACTGAGCAGCGCTCCCCCTGTGGGAGCACACTGATCACCAGGGGGCAGCTCCTGTGTTGAGCACCTGCCC